AAATCTTTCAAAGCTTCGCCCATTCATTTGAATGGGGTGACGTAGAAGATTTGTAATCTTCGCCGAACTGCATTGTGGGGAGCGGAGCATGGCTTTGCAAGCATCGTGAGCATCAAAAGTTGAGCAATGTTCAACTTTGTATGCTCCCGATGCTTTCGAAGCTGGCATCAGCCAATCAAATCCCATTTATGCAAATCCCGCCAGTACAAGCGCTAGCCAATCAAACCGCGTGCATGCAGATACTGCAGGTCTTTTCCATATGTCATAAAATGGAGGATAAATTAATCATCGCTGTAGGAAATGTCCCGGTCCTTTACGACTGCTCTCTGTTCACCTACCGGGACCTAAACCGGAGGAACCAGGCATGGAGGGTGGTGGCAGAGACAGTTGGTGAAACTGGTAGGTTTTCACCTGTTTGGGGAGTTTATATCCAGTTCACTTCGTTTTAACATTGAATGGACAGCTAGTAATGTAGCATAACATAGCCTTTTTTTTGCTTTGTATGCCGGGGGCGGGCGGGAGATTCCTGGGAGATTCCTGATTGGTTGTTGGTCGCCTTGGGCGCGTGAAATCGCCAAGCTTCAGACACGCCAAGCATCAAGATTTTTTTCATGCCTTTGTGTGGACGGGCCTTTAAAATCACATCTGGTCCAAGCAGACTTTAGCAGATTTGAGAAGATTTGAAGCAGACTTTAGCAGATTTTAAACAGATTTTAAGCAGATTTTAGCAGATTTTGAGAAGATTTTAAGCAGATTTTAGCAGATTTTGAGAAGATTTTAAGCAGATTTTAAGCACATTTGAGCAGATTTTAAGCAGATTTTGAGAAGATTTTAAGCAGATTTTAGCAGATTTTGAGAAGATTTTAAGCAGATTTTAAGCACATTTGAGCAGATTTTAAGCAGATTTTAAGCAGATTTTGAGAAGATTTTAAGCAGATTTTAGCAGATTTTGAGAAGATTTTAAGCAGATTTTAGCAGATTTTGAGAACATTTTAAGCAGATTTTAAGCACATTTGAGCAGATTTTAAGCAGATTTTGAGAAGATTTTAAGCAGATTTTAAGCACATTTGAGCAGATTTTAAGCAGATTTTGACACACCAAACCTTCCAGTTATATTCCTATCAATATTATGAAGGCTTTTACAGAAGGGTTTGTTAATATATCAT